TTTTTTATTCTTTCCGACCACGTTAACTTGTCTGAATTTTGATGCCGGGCAAAGGACAGCGATTTTCACCAAAAAATGAAAATCAACAAAAAGCTTTAAAATACATATCATTTTCATCAATATATATCACAAGAAGAGTCCAAGATATTCATACTGGATAGACCCTTGACTCCAACCTTGATCAACCGTCATTCTCATACTCAGTTTTTTGATGCTCAATCTGAGAAAAATACTTTTAAAGAGTTAGAAGAACGAAAAAGAAAAGAATGCGAATATTTTTGAAAATTGGGGTTTTTCGAATATTTAGATCCTTCGAGTTTTTCAAGTTTTCTTCCTTAAAAAATATTTAAAAAAATGAAAAACCAGTTTTTCTTACTCACCTCTATCAAACCATGCATAAATAAACGGAAAAAGAAATCTTGCTTGAACTTTGAATATATGGCACCTTAAATAATGAATAAATCTTGCTAAAAAAGAATTTTTAGTAAAGTCTCACTAAGGTCTTCGAAAAATCTTAGAATTTTCGGATTTTTTCATGATCTTTATAAGATTTTCCTATGATTTTAATACGATTCAAGTGTTTTTCACAAGAAACTGCTTTTTCCTCAATTGAAAAAACATGTTCATTGGTGCGCACAAATGTTGAACTGTTTGATGTATACACAGGCGAAGCTTAATATGACCATCTTTAAGGATAAATTTTTCAATTATGATTTGTAAATAACAGAATTTAGCTAGATCTTGCAAGATAAATCAAACAACGTCATCTAATAAAACAGACAAGATACGTTTCTCCCTTGCAAGCAAATTCTACGTATAAACATACATACTTATTTTCATAGATATCATTGCAAAACTATAGTAAAGAGACTTTTAATAACTGCTCGAATAATTTGGACATAATTTGAGTACTAGTGCAGCCGTTGTAAAGTAGTACTAGTAATCAAATTTTGTTATAAATCGTAGCCTCTAAATTCTTCTAATATTGAATTTGGGCAATATCTATTGATGTATATGACGATATTTCGATTATTACTTTTGTTAGTGGAAAAGTATTTATATTTATTATTCTTTTTTGTGTGATTACCACCATAAGCGTATAAATAATACATGGACCTGTTCTAAGCGAAAACAAATGAAAATAAGTATAAAAAAGGGGCAAAGACATATGATATGTTCAGAAGGTAAATGTACAAGTACAAAAACAGTGTAAAATATATAAATCGTTCACAGTAAGACGATGAAACAATGATTCATCATCATTTTATTTTAAAGACAAATGAAAAAATAGTGGCGGTCATTTAAAACCAATCACTTCAATATCAAGAATTTCAAACTTTTCTAAACTCGATAATGGTTGATTTAAAAATGTATCACATTGTTTTGTTGAACCGGTGAATAAATCTTGATCAATTGATAAGCCAATATTTAAGGGATTTGAACTACCACCAATCATTAAACGTTCATTATCACCACATAAAAAATACTCTTCCGTTAATTTTGCTCTATGTTCTAATCCTACCCATTTATAAACATAATTTTGTGGTACAAATGTAAATAAAAATGTTTCACCGTTACCAAAATATTGATTACGATGTTGATAACGTTGTGCCCATGATCCTGAACAAAATGCACCAAATATTTCCATTAATTGATTTTTAATAATAATTATACAATGTTCATAATATTCAACATGATCATAGAGTGTTAATAGCCGATGACCATGAATACGAGATGTATATACTAATTCTGGTTGAAATACTGATAAACGTTTTGGTAATAATGACCATAGAAACGCGATTTGAGCATGAGATAATATGGACGTATCAATTTCTCGAATCATAATCGGTAATGAACGAGTATGAGATGAAAACATAATAGAATTTGCTTGTTGTAAATGAGATTCACTACGTTTAATTGATGTTGCCGAGTTTATTGCCGTACGTAGTGATTCAAGTGACGGATTGTTTGAAATTCCATCATCTTGCTGTCCACCATAACCATTTGCACGTGTAGAAACTTTTTTACGTTCAGCACGTAAACGTTGTTCTTCAGTCTAACAAGAAAAGAAAAGGAAAATTTATTAATTATTATAAGATTTTTTTGTAAAAACAACCTACATCTAATATTCTTAAAATATCTTTTCGTTTTAAATTTCTTATTGAAAATGCATATTTAAATAATTTATCTGCTGGTATATTTATATTTCGAATAAATTGATTAAATAATTCATAATAATCATTCCCAATCGATTTTGGACGTTGTTTATTTACTTGTCGATGAAATGTTTGACGTAAACTACTCTTTCGTTTTCTATTATTTGGTTGTGGTTGTTCTTGATTGCCATTGTTATTATTTATATTACATTTGAGAAATAAATCAAATAGTGCTAGACCAATACGTATCCAAACTTTTATGCCTTCTATTAATAAACAATCGAAAATATGAACAGCATACAAAAATGGTAATTTATAAATGAATAATAACCAGTTATCAAACAGATGTGAATGACCATGTTTTATTATTAGTTCATGTGTTGATTTTGAATGTTTACGTAACATTTGTTTGAATAGTTGACATAATGAATTCCATTGAATTTCTGTTTGAGTGATAAATTTAAAATTTTCACTCGATGTCAATATGTACAGTACTTCGTAGACATGTATTTCTGTCATATAATGTAATAATAAAGATGTTATAGAATATAAAAGTGGTGACAATGTAATGTCCGGTTTATGATATGCAAATACACTTAAAATGTGTTTAACTGCGTCACGTCCATTCTGATTTAAATGATAATATTGATCATATTTATTATCGACAAACGATGGAAAATTAACGTTAATTTGGTTATCACGTCCAAACATATTTCGAACATCTTCTTTGTAGTGTTCAACGGAATTTCTAGAACGAGCTGGCTTATCTAAACGTAAAAAAAGAGAACATTTCATTTTCAATTTAAAAGTGAATCTAGTTCAATTTTGACATTAAACTTACCTACACTCGATGTTATCAAATTATACCACAATGATGAACGTTTCAAGTGTGATAAATGGAGAGTTGTCGTGCGAAATAAATGTTTCAACCGCAAATGTTGCTGCTGATCACATGATGCTAAAGGAAGATGAAGATCAGTTAAGATTTGGGGTGATGTCAACGACAGTGGATTAAGTTTTTGAAGAAATTTTTCATCAATAAAGTTTGTATTAAATGGAGCTAATTCAGATTGTAACAGAATATCGTTGGGACTAGGAGTTAATTGGTCAGATTTAGAACAAAGACTTGTTGCTGTTGAAATGGTATTAATCATCTTTTAATCTAAAACAAACATATATAGAAAAGCAAAGAATTTAGTCTCTTAAATTATTTTAGTCATAGTAAACGGGACAGAAAGTTGTGTGTTATTTAATATTCGCCAAAACAGGAAAACTTGTTCTATATGTATGATCATCTTTTTTATGAAAACGAACTTACTAATGCCACATGCAGGCTCCAAAGTGGAAAATGAATCATTATCTCACAAATTACAACATCAACCATGAATCAGTTGAAGAGTACATCCATCAGACTATAATCTTCTTCTTTTGATTTACCTTTTGGACAAGCAAGTGTCTACACTGGAACCACTGAAAGTTAAACGTTCTCATCCCTAACAGCGACGTATCCTGCACAGGGTCGAGTGTAGGCTATAATCTTCCAAAGTATTCCATACTAGCTCTTATAAAAAGTTCTTTTTAAGAGTCAAAGGATAAGAACAGAGTAGTGGAGAAGAGTAAAAGATAGTTTTATACATGTGTGATGCTTCTGTATTACAACCTTCATTGATTCCATATACTCTTATTTCATCCATTACACTTTTTAATTTTTTCTTTCGTATTTTCCTTGAGAAAAAAATAAATAACTTCTGATTGAATGATATGTTAGAGAATGTTAGTCTTTCTCATTTTTTTTGTAGACTACTACTTTACTGCGATGTAAGTAAAAATATAATAATATTATCATTCAAAAAAATGAAAAGAATAAAAGAACGGCATAAAAGTACAATAAAAAGTTATTGAGGAAATAAAAACAAAAATTTCGTGGTAAAGATGAAAAGAGAGCTACAGATAAAATGTACAGACGATTATCTAGGATTCGAAAAATGAAGTAAACCTAAACAGAATTTAAAAATGTCATTTTGAGCATTTTCAATGTAGCTAAAATTTTATGCATTTATTTAGTGTGTTATCAATCATTTCTATGATAGAGATGCATCCGGCATATGCTCTGAGAAAATTCTAGCAGAAAGAATGATCGTACCTAGATCCGAACTACGGAAAAAGAAAAGTAAAAAGATTTTCCTAAAAACTACTAAAGAAACAAAAATGTAGATTCTCACACTTGGAAAAATCCTGAATACGTCATTGACCACTACATGGCTTACTTGATAGCATACAGACAGACAAAATAGAATCAAGATGATTAAGAGATTGATTGACTTTGTTGATTCTATTCCATTTAATTTCATACATACACAAGACGTAATTTTCTTCCAGTTTTAGACAGTCATCTGAGATATCTGTGAGATTCTAGTACTGAAATGTTTTGAATAGTTTTCAACTCACATATACAACGCACTTGTATGTCGGTTTCTTTTATTATGAACAACATACAGCTCAATAAAAAATCATACACAAGTTGACTTGCAGACGTTTTATTACATAGTACGAATAGATGACATTTAATTCTAGATGAAAAAACGAAGAATAACGTTTGAGTTAAAAAAAAAATCTTTGTACATACGTGTAATATCTAAAATATGATGTGGTAGTGAACGTTCGCGTATAGTCAGTCTCTCTTGATGATACGAAAAATGAACATTTTTTACTCTCTTTTATTTCTTCTCAAAATACATACGTCCCATTTCATGCATCATTTGAGATGAGAATAATATAGACAATTTTTTTTTCACTAGTTCATCTCATGTTATTTAAATAATGTAAAAATTTTAATTTATAACAAACTTCTAAGTCAGAACTTCAGTTCGAAAAATATTATCTTTGACCTAGATTGGTTAAATTTATAGACAAATATTTATCGTATCATTATAGGTAAATTATTATATTATATACCAGAAGACAAATTAATACTTGAAATATTTTTATTACTAAAAATAGACTCAAATTTAAAAATTATCACCTATGCTTCTCTTTCGGCATTTTGTCATACTTCGGTATATAATTACCAATGTTACTGGGTACAATTTTTTTGGACAGGTTTCAAATTTAAACCAAAATCTATTGACAACTTTTCATATCTATGGTAAACAAAAAACAGATGTGACAACAAGAGAAAAAACGCATCTCACTGAACAAATTGACAGACTTAGCATTATTCTCTATCAACTAAACTGTATATTCACGAGGACATTGATAAACATACTCTAAAAATTCTAATTTAACTAAAGGTAAACAGAGAAAGTCGATTATAGACATACGTAAGTTTTCTCTATGAATCAGACTTTCGACGCTTCTATTTTTTGATGTTTTACATGGGGAGTTCATTAATATTCTTCAAGTAACTCTTAAACTTAATTGAGTACTTAAATCTTGACAATAAACTTAGCTAAAGATTGACTCAATTCTTGATGTTTTATTGAAAATCTTGAGTGTAGATTTAAGCCTTTGTTCTGACTTACATTTGTCGTAACTCTACGACATACGAGACTTCAGTTGAGCATGACATCTGTAGAGTTGTCTTAAGTCAATGCTACAAAACAATACAGGAAAACAAACTCAACGTTGACTTAAGTCTATGCTTAAGTTCATGAATTTTAGAATGTTGATGAAAGACTTCCCGTCTCGAACTCACCGATAACACTTTTCTCTAACAGGATTAACATTTTAATCAACGAAATAAAATCTAATTTTTGTTAGACTCAAAGAATAATCAAATCAAAAAAAGCGATTGAAAAACTCAGATTTAGTTCAAATTTCAGATGATAGAAGACCTATCAACAGATTATTAAAAAAGAATAAATTCTGAGATGATTCAGTATCTCTCATGTGTCTCATTTTTATTTTATTTTTTGATAACAAGAGTCCCATCATCGAATATGTATGCTAGACCGTAATCTATTTCAAATGATAAATTGAAATATGATCGTAGAATAAAAACGAAACCACATAATTATTCAACATTTAAGCATTACTATACAATTAGAAAAAACTTTGATAAAATTGTTATCTATGTTCATAGTTGAAAAAATACTAATTTCAATACATTCCGTTTCCATAATTATTTATCAGATAAAAAAATTATAAATTTTTATGAGTTATTTATTTTGAAATTTTACAGATTTTTGAAAAAATCTCATTAAACAATGAAATAAACATAAAACTGATAATTATTATATCTGGATTTATCACATCTACGAAAGGCCCACAGAAAATTTAAATTTTATCTTTTTATCATAGAAAATAAAACTTAAGTCAGATGTGTACACCTACATTTTGAAATTATTTATCTTGTACGTACGTTTTCTCTTTCGATTCTTCTATGACATTTATCGTCCTAATTTTTTTTTTATTCAATTTTGTGAAATAACAAAGGAAAAAAAGTATATATAAGATATGCGACTTGAACAAAAACAAAAACAAAAAAAAAAAATGAATAAAGAAATTTTTTTTGTCAAAACAGATATCGCTCGTTGTCTGTTTTTGCACTGAGAATAGTATAAGGGAGAAACATTTGATCTTTACCTCAAACCCTATTAGTTGATTAAACCGTATATTAAAAAAGAAAAAAATGAGAAAAAAACCAAACACAAATATAAAAGAGTAAATAAATACGAAAGACACAAAAGCATATATAAATTCACTAATTTATCATTAACATCGTTTTATAACGGTTTGATTGCGCTTATACTGTAATAAATATTGAAAATAATGACAACGATATTTTTGTTCGGATGAAAAATGCATGAATTTATTATCTGCATTGTTTAATTCATGTCATATATGGAATGTTAATATCAAATAATAAAAAAGTAAGAGATAAACGAAACATAATACTAAGAGAATAAATGTCCACGTATGAAAATATTTATCAGAATATTTTTAATCAACTTTAACAACACTGTAAATAGTTCTAACAAACCAGAAACAGGCAAGAAATCCAATTGTACCTAAAATAAAAAATAAAAAACATAGTTTATAATAAAAAATTTGGTGAAAACTACTACATAATATAGTGATAATATCTTTTCCCTGTCATACAAGTGCTTTTTTCTTTTTATGTCAAGGTGAAAATAACGTTTACTATGATAAAATTTTTAGAATATAAATCATAAAATATTCCTAAGTAGAAATTTATCTATTGTGAGAATTTCTATTTAAACGAGAAAAATGAATGAATCCTAGAAAAATATTTAAATATTAAAATCACTTTATTATCATACCTGTAAATAAGAATAAAACAAATGTTAACATTAATGTATAACCAAAATACAGAAACGTTGATGTTCCATCATTAATTTCTAATTTTGTTACAAAATAGTATATGCTATATATAAAAAAGTAAACAGCAGTAAATCCACTTGTTAAAATTGAACGCCACCACCAATTATAATCCTAAAAAGAATAGAAAATATTGTTAAACTCTTATTCTAAAATAATAAAATTACACGTTTACTTCAGCGCATAAATGAAAATAACACAATAATATCGTTGTTTCAGAACATGTCAATATCAATATGAGATATACAACCATTAAAAAACCAAAAAAGTAATAATATTGATGAGCCCTTAAAAAAGAAAATAGACTTGAATGTATATTTTATGCTAACATTAAATATCATACCATATACTGTTCAGAATAAAGAATAGTTGAATAAATATGCAACCAAATGGCAATATTCCACCCATCAATATACCTGGTAATGGTTTAGTATAAAGAGTTTGTTCTGGTACTTGACGTGGAATTTGATTTGTACGAACCGGATTTTCGGATGCCTTGAATAAATAAACATTTGTGTTTAACTATGAAAGTATAACGGATATATATATATATATACCGGTCGTTTGAAACCAAGATAAGCTCCAAAGAATACTAATGGTGTTGATACACAGAACCATAACGCTAATAAAGCTAAAAATGTTGTAAACGGGATAGCTGCTGAACTTCCGTTGAACCAGAGTACGATGTTAAGAATAAAAAATACACCAAATATAACACTAAAACGAACGAAGAATATCATTTTATTCTCTCTTATGTATACTCTCAAACTCTCAATAATTGAAAAGCAACTACGTTTGATATTTACCCAGGACAAGAAAAAGCAGTCATTAAAACATTTTTCTTCCAATTTTCACCACCAAACGCTAAACAAGGACAAGAATATGAATTTATATATCGAAGAAATAGATTCTTACATTTGTACAATCTCGCAGACGTATAACCAGCTGGCGTGCCCAACAGGACGTAACACACAATAGCGCCTGTAAATAAAAGAAACATTACCATACAATCCGAGATACTATAGAGAAATATTCATCAGAAGTAGTGAAGCAGCCAATGGGTGGACTCAGCCCATCTACTAATTGGTTCTGGCTCGCCTACTAAAAATTTTATAATTCATATTACTCTGCGCTAATATTTTTTAAATCCTGATTTTTTTCTGCAACAATTCTGTGCGCTCATTCCTAATTAATAAAAGGTCGTAAATTTCTTTCAACTACGCGTGTTGTGGCTATCAGCTAAATGAACATTTTCTGATTGATCAAGTAATCGCATATAGTATTATTAATCACACACTGAAGAGTCCGAAATACGGTAGTTTATAAATATTTATAACTCTCAACTTTTTTTGGTTCATTTTCCAGTTGAAAACCGTTTATAACTATTTCGGACATTGCCCAAATCATTTCGGACGCTTCTAATTGAATCAGAAGACGAGATTTCATGAATAAATGTGTAAGATGATAGTGTAGGTATTTTTCTTTCTTGCTTATCTCAAATCAAGTTTGAAATTGATTAGAATAGTAAAATGATGACAGTTAAAACTCAAGTAGATATTCGTCTCATATTTAGCTCTCAAAAATGTAAACGTCTAAGTGAAACATGTGAATTTAGTATCGAAATTGTTGTCTAAAATGAAACTCCAACTCCTGAAGCATTTTCAAGTCTCTCTTCCGTTTCTACGAAAATAATTAAATCTAACAATTGTCAAGGAACAAATTCGAAAACAATGGTTATCCCAGATGATGTCAGTCTTTTCGGTGGTAGCTCACCGACTCCACGATGTTTATCTTTTTATCCATCCTGAGAAGAGAATAGATCATTCAGTGACAACTGGTACAACAATCGTCCATAGTTGGAATATTCTGTGAAATAGCTTCAGTAGCGGTGTTCTGCTGCTACTGAAGAAGTATGACATTAAAAACAGGACAAAACCAAGTGAAAATATCTCGTATTTGAAAAAATGTGAAGCAAACCCTACCCATTAACAAAAACCATGACTACACCACTAATAAGTGGGAACAACACCGTGGAACTTCTCAATCGATGAAATTTATAGAATTAATCACTTGAAAATTTAGCAACTATTTTGTTTGATATAAAAATGATTTCAGAAAATTGAATATAGTTGTAGACAAGACATTGGAATCACATCGACTCATATAGGACAGACAGTTGAAAAACTATTATTTGAATAAAAATATTCTACTTACAAGTCATTAGTGCACCACGACTGGCTGGTGAGAGAAAACCCAGACAAGCGAATACTAAATGAAATAAAAAAGAATTTGAATGAACAAATGTGAATGAATATTGTTGAAAAGCCGTCACATACTTAACGTAATCAATGACATAATAGCTATTTGTACACCATTGCCAACTAATACAGCCAATAACATTCCCCTTTGCGGTGGACGAAATACATCACCATGAACTCTAAAATAAATTTTTGATATATATAAATAACCACGAAAAATATGTAGTTGTTAATGTAAGAGCAACTTACAATTTCCATCCAAATTCTTCTTGTGCCTCATCCTAAAAATAATAAATGAAAATCCACTATAAATACGATTAAATTCTACATTTCGCAAAAAAAATAATAAAACATACAGCGTCAACCATTTGATTATATCGTGCAATATCTTTATGTAATGTTCGTAATAAAATCATTGCTACCATACCACTTAAAAATAAGACAATTACTAACGAATTTAAAATTGAAAACCATTGTATTCTTGTTTGTGGTAAGGATTTTAAGATGTAGTCCCATCTACTTGCCCAGCGGACGTCATTATTTTTCTACAAGGAAAAGAAAGTAGAAAGTTAGTAGGTTTGTCGAAATCAAATTAAAAAATCAAATAAAAAGTTTATCATACGATAAATTTGACTGAGTATGTGTAAGGAATTGTAACTTTTTTTTTATTCGATTGAAATGCAATTGGTGCAGAACCTTTTTCACAACTGTCCGAATTTAAACTAGAATAAACAAATAAACTTCTCGTAACATATGTACAAGATTATAATCATTTTCTTTACCTGCTAACTTGAACTTTAGCCGCTATTAATCGACCACCTTTATCTTGAAAATTGCCACCCCATGTTTCACCTTATATAATGATAAAAGAAAAAGTATACTAAAATCCGTTAAATCTGAACTCTTTATCCTATACCTTGTCCACTATGATATGTTATTTCGAAGTCTAAATGGTTGAACACATAATATGTGTCATTTTGACCATCTAGAATATTACACGACTCTTTTGATAGACCACTTTTTGTCACATAACATCCAATAGGAAAGCCACGAGAACAAAACTCTTTTTTATCCGTATTTGTGTAACACAATGTCACTGGCATGTTATCGATAATCCAATGTTGTTGATAATTTAACGCTATACCTTTCATTAAACGTTTTAAAAGTTTTTGATCGCCAGGTATATCATCATATTTTTGTTCACAAACCTTTTCACAGGCTTGATCCTCAAGGAAATTGAACTGAAAGAATTGAAGAAATAACATGTATACACGACACATTTCAACCGTGCTATCCATGAAATAGCGTGACTTTAAATTTTTAAGCGAATATATGTATCCGAAATATTTAGCTTATTATTTTTTAGCTGAGAAAAACAAAATGGTTTACTTTATAGGGTGACGGTCTGATTCGTTCACCAAAAAGCACTTGACCAAGATTTTCAACTGGTGATGATTGTTTGTCTTTTATCTTGCAAAAACCGAAACTAAAGATAAACAGAGAAATAGTGAATAGTAAGATCTTAGAGATTAGTAAATCAAAATAAATTAATACACTTTACTGTAGAATTCGATTGTGCACTTACTAACTATATTCATATGGTAAAACAGATTCAACTGAATCTAATCGATTAACAAACACTTCAACTTTTGCCTTTAAGTAAACAAAACATATTCATCGTATCTAAAACAATACTTATTTGTATTTCCTTACCTTGCATTTTGTATCTTGTACTTCGGTTTGACAAAATACATTTGGTGCTAAACCCGGTAAATAGAATGCAGAAGAAAGACCAATAGATATTACAATAAAGAAAATATTAAATGATTTAATCATTTTTCAAAAATTTTAATCTAGAAAAGGAAAAAAAAGAAAATCAATATTTTTAAGAGACAGTTTAATTACTCTAAAATGTGTGAATCAGCATGTTTTAAGATATTTACAGACAATGGTTAACTTATATCTAAAAACGAGGCACGCTTCTTTGAATTGTGCGGCTTTAGATTTCTTTCGCATAAAAAAAAACTATTAAAATAATTTCTCTTTTACTCCTATATAGAAAAGAAATATTTTCTACGTACTAAATATAAATAATTTCAAAAACAAAGAAAAGAACAGAACAGGATTTCACACTGCATAAATGACGTTTCCGCTAGAAAAAAAAAATGTTATTTTACATCAATCTGTAAAATTCATTACGAGTACTGCTATTGAATCAAACTATTAGATTAAATACATGTCAAAATATTAGTGTTTTAAATAACTGTCTAACGTCTACCTCACAAAAAGGGATAAAATTTTAGATTGTATCGAGTAATTTATTCGAATAGACAAGGCAACACATTTATTATATTGGCATTATAGAATTCTTTTTAAAAATTATTTAAATCCAAGAATAATCAGAATCAAAGTTTCATGATACGGAGAACTATTGGATTTTGAACAGTACTTCAGGCATGCCTGAGTGACTATGCCATGTCGTTTGATTTCTTTGCATAGTTTTTTTTCTTATCGAAGAAAGGTAACTATGCATGACAGTCAATTTTTCTACTACAGCCTTTTCTGATTGTAAATGCTAATATGAAAAATGTGTGTAACTCATACGTGTACGTTCGTATTATAATTTTTTTTTTTGTCGCGTTCTTTTTAAGGAAGCTAGGACAAAAAAAATACTTTTTAGTCTTGTGTATTTAAAACAAAAAAAAAAAAAAAGAAGAAAAAAAAATCCTTACATACAAATCTATATAAACGTATGTACAGATTCGAACATGTCTATTCCTTCTTCTTTTATTTATAATGACACAATGAGTGGACAAAAAATTCAATCCGTATTGACAAATAAGTAGCTTGTCGCAAGATGAAGGATGTTTAGTGAAGAGAAACCCATAAACAAATGAAACTCGTCCGTGCGTAGCGTATATAACGAAAATCCCTATGTATGAGATAAGACGAATACAAAATACTGATGTGAATACAGCATCATCTATTTATAAGAACATGAGATCTAGATTTAAACATATGACAAATTTTATCCTTCGACCATTTTAAAAATGCAAAAGAAATTGTTTTGGTATCAGGGTTGCCAGTCTCACATTTCGATATTTATCTAACTCGCTCTAAAAGTACTCTCTTTTATAGAAAAAAAAAACGCATTCTTTTTTGCGTACCAAAAGGTATCTGTGTTAAATTTATACGTTTTATGACAGTAGTCAAAGAAGGAAAACGAAGAATCGTTATGTATGACAAAAAAAAAATATATTATACACTCATGGGTGTTCAATATTCTTCATGACATTGTAACGACAATTAACCTATATTGTCTTGTCCTATTAATAGAAAAAAAGTCCCATTTCTCTCGAAATTTGTCCATCTTTAATCGTTTGTGGAACTTCACCGAATAGTTTCTGAAGGAGAGAGGAGTGTAAGTTATATAGTCAGAACCTTAGGGTTTTTTATCCTATCCCCTGTCCCATGTAGTTATGGTCTTAATTAAATAAATAATGGCAGTGGTTATGATCGTAAGTTTGCTTAGTGGAGCCCAGTTATAACCTTCGAGTCCCTATGTATAATCTCAAAATCATTCTCGGCATGCATTAATGATCTTTAAATCATTCAGGGCTTTATTTACAATTTTACAGCCTCTGGTTATGACTTTAAAAATACCTAGTGTCCCCCGTCATGTTCTTAAAAACATATAAGGCTTACAGTTACGATCTTAAAGCCGTTGTTGGACGCATAGTTATCTTTTTGCTCAAGAATCATACCTATGTCATCGACTTTTATTAAAACTGACGTTATCGACTCTAACTCTGGTTATCGAAATAACCGTCGGTCACCGCTGTTTCAACAGACGAGCCGACGTTTATTTCAATAATCGCTGTCCGTATAAAACTGTCGATTATCGGTTGATTTTTTCTTTTTATCGGAGTTCATTCACCGTATTTTAATTACTGATTACAAAAATGAGCTCAAGAATTAACAGTTGGAAGGAGTTTCACATTTTAGTTGATACAAGCAATAAAAGATTACTGAGAATCATAAGAAATCAAATTAAAGTTAATAGTATTAGAGGAACCTAGATCGAAAAATCGTACAAAAAAACTGACTATAGAATCTGTACAATTTCTACACTATTTCCGATTATCTGATTATCATTTCTACTACTACCTATATGGTCGTATAGTTTCATAGGTTCTATATATAATTAAACAAGATTTCATGTATGACGAATTTTGACTTGAGCAGTCTAAATTCCGTTATGACAGAAAGCTACGTGAGCTACTGAAATGAATTACTCTTTGTCAAACTATGTATCTGCGCAATGGTATAAAATATTCGACAAACGAATCAGACGTAATAACAACGTAAATATTACTAAGAAAAATGCAACAGACAAACGTGCACACATCTCAGTACAATTCCAATCATTTTCTTGCTGATCGATTTTTTTAATAAATATCTGGAGGACACAAACTATTATTAATATTTACTAGAACAATGGCAGATATTTTAAACATTACTATTATTAACGTGCACATTTCGCAAATGGCATCAACAAAAGTTTTAAAATCAAGTTTTTTGTAACAAAAAAATGTTTACTTCTAAGTACACCTTATTCTGAATCAACCAATTATATTGCCTTAACAATAGTCTGTAAAGTTATGTTACTAAGATTTCATCTTAGAGGTTATCCCTACTGTCATAATGGTGATAAATTGGCCAATAGAAATTGTTGTTTGTTACTATGGTCTATAGTTTGTTGGAGAACTCAAACATTTTTATTCCCAATTCTGTTGCATGATTCGAATGCTGATTTGATTACAAATACGAAGTAAGACTTCAATTACTTTGATGTTGCCAGAAAGAGGGTATGTTGCGCTCCTGCTGTCACACGATGAATAATTCTTGAATATAGTTGTTTGCCTTCAATAAGTTTTGGCTCAAATATATCTTCGCTTCCGTGTCCCGTTTGAGCGGTATCACCCATACCAAATGAGTAAACGTTTCCTTCCTGATCAATTGCAAAAGATACACTACCACCTGCATCGATATCAACAATACTTTTTAATGTTTTTATATTAACTGGTTTTGATATATTATGTTTGAGATTTAAAACGCCTAATCTACCATCATCTACGCGTCCAACGCCAAATACATTTCCTTCATAATCTAATATAAGTGTGTGTTGTAAACCACACGCTATTTTTTGAATATTTTTAATCATACTAAAATTGTCTACTTTTATTGGTTCATATACGGGTGTTTTCGTATCAATACCGAGTTGAGTGAAACTGTTTGCTCCACACGCCATTATATAGGGTGCTTTATTTTTCTCTTTTATTTTTACAAAAAATCCATGTCCACCGCACCAAATATTTTCAATAAATTTATTTTCAAATGTTGGAATTTTACTTGGTCTTAACCAATTTTCAATGATATTATTTGTAAGATATTCGGATTTATTTTGATCTCGACCAAGTTGACCAGTTTCTCCGTTTCCAAACGAATATACTTCGCCATTATTCGTCAAAAAAAGACAAAAATCTGCTGCACATGCAATTGTTTTAATTTTCTCATTGAACGGTATTATAATCGGTAATTTTTCAACATTTTTAGGAGATAATAAGCCTAGAATTCCTACTGTACTTCGAAAACAACCACAACCATAAATTGTGCCAGAGTTGCCTCGTGCAAAAGTAAATGAGTCACCAGCAGCTATTTGCAAAATAGCTTCAGGCAAAACTATTTGTTTCGGTTGAAATTCATCTTCTATTTCAATTGTTAAGCGTCCCAGTGCAGAATCATCATTACATCCCCATGTAAACACTTTTCCTAATTAAAACAAAAATCAAGACTAATTTAACAAAATATTAAACGATTGGCTTGCGAAGGATCTGTTGTCACAGAAGATGCTGTAATTGTATCTAGTACGACGGAAAAAAAAGGAGATCTTATCAACTTAAATAATTAAATATACCTGTTTGAGTTAATGCACATGAATGGATAGCACCAGCACAAACTTGTACTATATTTTCATTTTCCTCATTGAATAATTGAACAAGTTGTGGTTTTTTTCGTTCAATAATGTTAGGTTTCATGCCAATTTGTCCACATATATTTTGCCCACAAGCCAGTATACATCCAGTAATATGCAATTGTTGTCTTTGACGTTTTGAATCTTTCTCATCGTCTTTATTTCGAACCAAACTTCTTTTCTCACAATATACATATGGACTACTCAAATATTTTTCATTCATAATAGAATTTCGGATGCTAGATGATGAATCAGCTTGTTTTTGTGATGCATTTATTCCGATGTAAAAAAATTTAATTTCATCCTTTTCAATGTAAATATTAGGAATGATAGTTGTTAGATTAAACTGAATTTTTGAAGAATACCGTAGATTTATATTCGGTTGTGTTTTAAATCTTTTTGAATTATATTTATTATTCATATCCGAACATTGTTTTCGACTTTCAACGGCCAATCTTGTTTTTAAATCACTTAAATATGTACCATCATTTTTTATTCTCCAACTCATTCTTCTATTCTTCTTGGCAGAAAATAATATTAGAAAAAATAATTCAATTCATGTAGTGAAATATTGACTAACTCAATTTCTTTAGTCAATATATGTAAAAATTAAGTGAGAATTTCATCAGCATGCGACACACGCGGAATGAAATTAGACTTTTACGAATAAATTTTATAAATGTTTTAACCTTATATTTTCTTTATTGAATTGTCTAACAACAAGCTGTTCAAAGTTAAAAAAGCGCTTATTTCTTTAGTTATTGAGATAAATTATGCAGCGAAAAGTTAAAAAAACTTGAAGGTATACTACTACGTATGTAGACATAGTAGTGAATCGAATATTTTTTTATTCGCTGATACAAAATCTTCTGTAAATCTCTGGTAATTTCTGATCCAGAGAGTCCCATACGTGTTTCTTTATACTCCGAAGTACTACTGTATATGCACTATTCCAAAAATGCAAGAAAGAAATTATTTTCATTCGCAGATAATCACAGAGAATGTTAAGTTCTTGTCATTCGATTTATGTTAGTTTCTCCTAATTTATGTCTTTTGTTGATGTAGTTCGTTCATTTTCATTCATTTTTGTTCAAAATACATTGTTTCCCGTAAATAGTAGGTAAAAAAAGCAAATAGTATAAAATAAAAATAGCAAAGAGAAAAAAAAGTTATCACAAAAAAGGATAGAAAACGCTTTTTTCCGTTTCGATCGTAGAAAAAAGCGTATAATAAACAATTTATGTTTTTCGTTTAGGAGTACTACTCCTATATATTGATTGTTGATTATATGAGGCTAAACTGTGAGGTACACACGCATTCAACGCATCATTACCGAAATCTCTTCTATATGGCCCAAACGCTTCAACATCATCTTGGTTATGCTTATTCCCAAAATTGTCATCATATGGCAGACTGTGTGTCGAAGATAGACGATAAGGATGATGATCAATGTAATCGTCAGTCTCAAGTTCACCATCATCGTCTGCGGAAGATGATGAGCTATAACTATTTTCATTGTCCTCTTCATCTTCATCGGCATATGTATTATCACTCGTAAAATTTGTTTGATTACTAAAATTATTATCTGGTATAAATGAGTTCGTTTCATTTCCTTCTTCAATAAGACGTTTTTGATCAACAGCTGTATCAGGAAACGCTTGTGGACTATCTAATTTATAATTAGTTAAATATCGTGAATAAGGCGTTGTTTTAGCAACTGGTCGACCGTAGGATTTAACATATACTTCAACATCGTCTTCAATAACATTCTCATCTTCGTCTTCATTATCCCCAAGAATTAACCGTTTTTGTGATTCACATAAAGTATCGAAATTTATTTGCTGTTGTTGGTTCGTTACAACATGTTGTAACGGGTTTAAGCTTCTGTGTGGATCTCGCAAAAGATTTAGAACACTCTGTGATGATTGTGTGGGAATAACTGATGTCACACGTGCACTATTGGAAGTCGATCGTTTCTGTAAAGGATCCAACGAAACAGATTTATATCTCATCTGAAAAAGAAAAACACATACATAATTATACGAATAATATTTTAAAAGAATACTTTCTTCTAGATTCTTCTCCGATATTCGAGAATTTTAAATAATATGAGTGGTTCTCCCATCTTTGACACATTTTTTAAAGATCCGGTACGTAAAGAGCCGACAGACTTGATAAGATAAACACAGACTTACTGCCAGTGGCCAATCATTACATAATTTCACTAAATCATCGATGTCCGAACGTTTTGATGGACTCAAACACAATGTTGATTGTAAAAATTTATAAAAAACAGCTGGTACAGCATATTTATTTGTTGGTAGTGTCAATGAAGGATCACCTTCCTGATATTCGTTACGATAAAAATCACATAACTGCTCTTTTGAATAACCTTTGAATGGTAATTTCCGTTGAACTAATTCCCATAGTAGAACACCGATTGAATAAATATCACATTTATTTGTTGGACGAATATTATCGTAGGTATTTCCAAATAATTCCGGTGCTAACCACTCATAATAGAAATTGGGTGCAAGAGCATCATGTATATCACGTAATTCTTGATTAAGTGGATTAGATATCCTTAAAAAAAGACAAAAAGGAAACAATTTTGAAATATATTATCGCATTCTATCACTTACCAAGTTACAGCATATTCAAAATTTCCCAATTTGACTTGTTTATATCTTGTAAAATAGACTGCATGTGACGTTATATTCAAATGTAAAATTCTTTCATCATGTAAATACTGAACAGCACTCAGTATTGCATGTAAAATCTCTGAGATTGTTCGTACTTTTGGATATTTATGTTGTTTATGTAAAACACAATATAATGACTCACGATAAATTGGTTCGAATATTAAGTAATCAATAATGGATGGTATTCGCTCATTATAAAGAACAGACACACATTTAATTATATTGTCAAAATTTTGTACCCGACGAATATTTTCAAGTTCATTGCGTAATAAATCATTATACGACGATGAATATCGGGTAACTCGTCTTAATTGTTCATCGATACATTTACACGTTACTTTTTGATAGTTTAATAGCATAACACGAACATGACAATATTGACTAACACGATAATGAATTGATCCTTGAACGGGAGTCAAATCTGATATATCACATGGATAGATACAAGTAAGATCACTCGAAACATTTGTTAACGGTGGAGAACGAGCACTTTTAGGCGATGTTGGTACATCGAATCGACGAGTTACATCGATGCTTGGACGATCATATACGTCTGTTTTAACAACGGGCGTTCTACACTAGCCGAAAATATATTCATAAAATTAGTTTTACTAACGCAGGAGAAATCCTACCTTATTTGTTTAACCAAAGGTCTATCAATATATAGTTCGTTTAATGCTGAGGGATATAAGTAATCTATATAGGCTAATGTTTTTTGTCGACGATTTATGGAATATTGTGAATATGCCCAATAACTACTTAGATAATAAATATCAGAAAGACTAACAATCGAATACTCGATACTTACATTGGAGTCAAACCGGCATCATCTCGAAGAAATAGATCACCTTGTTTTTGTATTAAAAGTTTTAAAACCGACAACTTTCCTAATCGACAGGCAATGTGCACGGCTGTATAACCCCCAGCTAAACGTCTAAAAAAAAACGAATGATTTTATAGAAACATTTTTCAAACTGATTATCATGTAAAACTCAGCTAAATACTCGAAAATAGAATTAAGAAAAACTCTGAATATGTCGTACAAATTTGGGTCAGCACCATTAGCCAACAAAAATTCAACACATATCATTTGTTTATGGAGTAATGCACAAGCAAGAGGCGATTCGCCGAATATATTAAGTGTGTTTATATCAATGCCTGAACAAGAAAGAAAACAGTTATAGTTAGCTTGTTGACTTCCACTAAAAGTCGAAATGCGTTGTATCACCTTGCTTTATAGCTTTTCGAATTTTAGCTGATTGTCCATAACGAGCATGGATACAAACATCCTCAATAGTGCTGGGAGCCATTCTATCTAAAAGAATAGAAATACGGCGATGTTTCATGGAGTCACGTACAAATTTGACGACCTGAAAGAAAAATGCGGTGGCTAATATAAAAAACTGACAAAAGAAATGCTTCGTATAATCGTTCGTGGCAAAAAACAATGATGTAGCAGCTGAAAGAAAACGCAAATTAGAAATGTATCATTCCATTTAAGTTCCTATGGACCTGTAAGAAAAGTTCTTTTTGAAAAAAAAAGCATCAGCTTATCCTATGAATGAATGAATGAATGAATTATTATTCACGAAAAGTGAGAGTCATCAAAGGTCACCGACCTATAAAACAATGACTCGAGCCGAACAACAACAAAAGAATCTATAAATAGAAAAAAAAGAATAAATAAATAAATAAATAGATAAATAAATAAAAGGTAAAAACTAGTGTAGTGTACGAAAACAGATAGTAAAGAAGAATAAAAAAGAAACAAAATAAAATAAAATAAAGTAAATAAAATAAGAGTAACAGCACTAGCTTTGTTTATAACTGTGTGTTTTTAACTGCTATGTTCTACTGAAAAGA